AGTGGACTTAGTAAGCTGTAACGATTATGATGAAATTTTAAAGATGTGGCAGCCTCGTATCAGTAGACGAAGTATAGGGCGGCCCCCACTAGACATAGTGACGACCTGGGTAACTCAGTCACTAAGTGAATTGTTTTGCATACCGTGGCCTCGAATTCCGCACGGAACGAATATTTGTATGGTATATAAGTTATTGTTCCGAGTCTGGATGTCTACCCATGTGCAACTTATGATTTTGACTTTGACTTATGACTTATGATGAATTTATGATTTTACACGCATGCACTATGCTGTCCCTTTTCCTAACGTTTTTTTATAAGACAAACGAGCACACAGTCCACCTGATGGTAAGTAGTTGCTGTGGCCCATAGATAACTACATCTTTCCTCGATTACGTATCAAAATGCAGATGCGTTGTCACCCGTGAGGACTAAGATGGAATGCCTCATTTCCAGTAAAAAGGGTCACCGGTTCTCTACACTCACCATACGAAACACAGCAGCATTAAGCTACTATTTGACGCTGGTATTCTGTGAGAGCGTGGTCCTGCCCCGGTCGAACCGACCCGTTCGTGCTACAACTATACTACTAATATAACTGCAGCATAGCTCTACCACGTGTAAATATATATGTATATATATTTATATATATATATATATATATATATATATATATATATATATATATATATGTATATATATGTATATATGTATATAGAGCCGTGGTAGCTCAGAGGTTAGCGCTCGCTTTAAATTTCACAATACGACGAGCAAACCGGGCTTACGATCCCCGCTGGCACCAATGAAATTGTTAATTGCAATTTTAAGTGCTGATTTACCACGTGCTTGGCGGTGAAGGAAAACATCATGAGGAAACCTGCATATCTGAGAAATAAGAAAAAAAAATTATTTCGAAGACATGTGAAGTTCGCCAACACGCATTGGAGCAGCGCGGCGGACTATTCCTTGCCCTAGAACCCTCTCAGCAATGAGAAGAGGCCTGTGCCCAGCAGTGGGACGTATATAGGCTGTAACTTTCCTTTACTTAATTAATTTATTTAACAACTATATACTGACATGACGATATTCAATCTACCGGCCAAACATGACGATCAAGGTCAAATCTTTCCTACAACGGGAGAAGCCTATGTCGAGAAGTAGACTTTTATAGTCCGAAAGAGAAGAAATTATTAACTATTGTCGCAACTAGGAAATGTAGCCAGCATCATTGGTACCATATCGTTAGGAAAACTACTACTGCAAAACTATACTTAAGTTTATATTCTATATTTTACATGCTGCCACGCTGCAACTATTAGATTGGCACGGCCGGGGTAGGAACACGCTCTCATGGTATACCAGCGTAAAATAGCAACTTAATACTGCTGTCTTTTTTGATGAGTGTTGATAAACAGATATCCTCCTTACTAGTAACGATGCAATTTATCTTAGTTTATTACATTATTGAGTATAGATGTAATGTCTTTGGGCTATAGAATTCACTTTCTATCAGGGGTCTGATTGCGATTGTGTGCTTTTTATTTTTTCACAAGATAAAAAAATATTTTATATAAATTTTACTAGAATAAATGTACAAAACTGTGTGGATGTAATAAAAATCTCTGGTGGTTCTCAAAATTCTCAAACAAAAACTTGACATCCATTAATTGCGTTTTATGATTCACAAAGGAAGGGCGTTAACAATGGCTTTTCAGAATATACGTAAAAGAAATTATTTTAACAACACGGAAGCTGTAATAGCCATATAAATTGTTGTCCCAGTAATACTGGATTTCATCCCTAATGGGAATTCCGGAACATTTGGCGAAATATACTTTCCATAATATTTAATACATTTTCTTACGGACGTTATTGATTAGAATGTTCTACTAAGCTTTGCTTTAAATCTTATTAAAATTTGTATTGAAGATAACGTAAGAATTTAAAAACTTAAAGCACATTCATTTTATCATTATTTACTGTGATTATTCTAGTGTGTCTACAAACATATTGTATTGTCATCGGTTGTTAATATGTGTCTTATCATTAACATCATTACGCCAGTTTAAAGTCCTTGCGAAATGCTTATGATGTCAGGTGATGTTGCTGCCCGCGTTCGTATTGACGCGGACAGTGTGAATGCTAGAGGTTGTCACGAAAATGAAAAGAAAATATTTATGCGTATTATAATACTCATTATCATTTACTAATATTATGTACATACCTATATGTTCAAAAATATCTAAAAAGATGATTGTTCATTACTGCACGAAAAAACACATTTACAAGTATTGTACTGCCAAATATCGTCTTTTATTGATTGTTAAATTTAACTAGTGTATTTGCGTTCGGATTAACAATTTTATCAACAAAAAAAAATACATCGTAAAAATGTTCAAATCAATATTTTTATAATACACCATGTTTCAATTTAACTCGTAAAAATGTGAAGGGATACCAGTGTTTCTCTTTTTCAGCGTTTGTATTTCGTAGTACGCGAACAGAGTTCAAGGCCAGTCCATGTCAATTGAACCGTAAGTGCTAGTTTTCCACGAGCTCGAAATTGAAGGATAAGATTTTTAAGAAATTTGTTGGACAGCAAAGGGAGAAGACCATTTTAGGCTGTGACTTATAAAGTATTATACCCACAATATTTACAATATGATAAAGGACCATGCCGTGTCGTGGTGACGTAAGAGAATCCTTCATCTCGTTCCGTCCCAAAGGTCTCACAAGAGGCAAATTGGGGAAATGCTAGAAAAATCTTATGAATTCTGATATATGGCGGTATAAACATTAAACGAGAAGCTTCAAAGGCAAGATATGTCTCTACGATCTACTTAACGATGTATCGCCAATCAGTGATGATGATGATTGATCTGACCGAATTTCGTTTGTCTTTATGCACGTCGGCAAGCTCCACATGATCTCAAATTATATTAGTTTCTCGGAGCAGTTTTTCTTTAATCAAGTTGGTTTTGTTACGGTAAATAAGCATTTAAAATCTATAAAAATTTCAGTGGTGCTAGTCGCAGTTGAATTCGGGTTAGTGGCAACACTCACAAATTAATATATTCAGTCTCAGGTACTTTCGTTATTGTCCTGAGTTATCAGGCTTCTCAGATTTACCATATTAAAATGTTACCCGCTTTTCTTTTGTGCACGTGCACACTTACGCGCCTCACACTCGCACGTGTACACGCACACGCACACGCACACGCACACACACAAACGCGCGCGCGCGAGCGCACGCACACGCACACGCACACGCCCACGCCCACGCACACCCACACGTACACGAATACGCAAACACACACGCATACACACACGCACACACACATGCACACGCACACGCACCCGCGCGCGCGGAAGCACGGATGCACGCACGCACACTCGCACACACACAACCAGTTACCAAACATAACACAAAAACAAATAAATGAAAAGTAAAATGATACCCGGGAAGTATGAGCGTGAAGTGAGTACTAGTTGACAACGGCCACGCGTTCGTGTTTGTTCTAATTTGTAGAATCGGCATGCATAACCATTTTAAATATCTTTTTATTTATCTAACGTTACGAATTTTTTATTAAGGCTGTCTTTGAAATTCTTAATAAAACAATCTGACGTCAGAAGTATTTGAAGGAAAAAGTTGGGAAGGCATTGTAATTCAAAAATGACGAGGTTAAATAAAACGCACTTAACTCTAATAATTAAATTTTATCATTCACGTTTGTGCTTTGAATATGAAACATAAAATAATTTTAACGTTAGTTTTGCTAGCAGACAGTCTTAAAGAAAATGAGAGAAAGATATATGTTAATATTATAATCTTGAGTAATCTGTGAAATCGCTTTCAGCTATTGAAAAGAGCTGTAAATGTACTAAAGCCCTAGTCAATAGTAAAACAAGATAAAAATAAAAAGACTACTAGCAACCTCTGAGGCAATCAAGGTCATAACAAGCCTATCCAGGTATATTAGGAGGTATATTACAGGTACTTTTTTATAGAGCCAGGAGGATAAACACAAGAAATTTTAAATAAGATTAATTACTTATTAGGGTTCACAGTAGTGGACTTATTTTGTAATGTGATAAAAATAACGCAAGCAAGAAAATGGTCCCATGGGTGTGTAAACGTGGGCTCGCTTCCACGGACGTGTAGAATTTAGCTTACGTGGCAATTCGCGTGTGAACTGTATGTTAGGACATAAAATTCAACCTTTTTTTTCTGAGAATATACTTTGGCCCGTCTTACGAGTAACATGCCTTTTACTTAAATACCTGAAGAACCCATCATATAACATGGCGACCCTGCCAGATCCAAGAAAGTAGTCCTAAGAAATCAAGAAAGAAGGCTCACGTACAAAGAAAAACAGAAGATGAAAAAGCATATCTAAAGAACAAGTAGTCATAGCCCAGAACGCCAACGGAGCAGCATCAGCCACAACCAAACTACAACAGGAAGATTTAAAATACTACCCTTTGGAAACCCTAACAATTATCATCGTCGCTCTGGTGGTTGCCGCCATCATGTACTACGCCATAAAAAAGTGCTATCTAGCATCCATCAGAACGTTGAGACGAGAATTGAACGCCATCTCAATGGACAACTTAAACCGCCCAGCCCGCATTTAAGCTGCACCACGTACATCAAGAGGTGTCCAGGGAAATATCCGGCCCAATTCAAGAAGATGACAGCATAACCTGGAGCCCCAATTACCAGCATCGTGCCTGGCCTGTCCTCAAACCACACCGATGCACACGTCTAGTCGACGAAATCCCATAGAAATCGAATGGGTTAACCAAGTAAGCCGTATTCTGTCCTTTTACCGATAAAATAAGATAATATTTTTATTATGTCTGCTAGTATTTTAACGTCATGTCTTTGTTAGAATTGCAAAAATTACAAAATAATTTAGAAGAAATTAGGGAATATTTAGTTAAAATCGACCCTGCTCTATCATTTTGTAATTCTCTACAGAATGCTCAGTTATTGCCTCACCTGAACCATATCAGTCTGCCGATGAGGGCCCTAGCCTTTGCGATATGTTTTTCAATTCTTATTCTCCAGGCTGGGATAGTGCTACTTTTTCCAGTAGCGCGTTCAACCGTGTAAAATTTGGCACCTATAATACGGCAGACTGCCAGTGCGGCGCCAAAAAGAATTGAGGACGTCTCGCAAAGGTCCCGGCTGGCTTCCAAATAGGTCACCTGAATTGGGTTCAGAGTCCTCACGACAGTCCGATTTCGTTTGCTTAGGGCTACGTGGGGAAGTCGCGGTCGATTTTTCAGAGGCGTACTGCGCGTTTCCACAATCGCCTCTTCCAATGTACTTCTCATTTGCTCTAATTTAAGTTCCTGATCGACTGTTCCATCGTCGTTTGAATCAACCACAACTGGGATATTCACGGTGGCATCCACGTTTGCGGGTTTCTCCGCAAGTTGTGACGCCGCATCCTCAGCCATGGCATTTTCATTCGATGAGGGAACAGCCTCACGTCGTAGCCGTTCGAGTTCGATGACATCAAATATATTTGAGCGCAAGATTTACCGAACTGAGTCTGCAAGTTTTATTTTTAAAAGAATATTAACAACGCTCTAAACATTACTAATATTCCGCTTAACCACTCGTGGTAAGCTTAAATTGCTTGTGTTACGAGTAGTTTACGCCAGTAGTCGAATGGTGGATTTGATCGCACGACCTTTTTGAGTTCGCGGTCCGCGCCCTGCCATTAGGCTACTGTCGCTTAACCGCGTTTAGCTCGGTGACGGTTATAGATGGCTCCAGGTCAGCAAAAAGTCGATGCATCCTAGCCTGATAGGAAAAACCTCCAATTTCTCCCCCTTACGCCCTAAAATAAGCCCGCAATGCGTTGATATTCATCTGCATTGTCCAACACATGCGGCATACTCCACCAATGACGGGTGCCGATTGCTGAACCCGCGAAGACCCTGCCGACATCAAGCCAGCTGGTGGGGATGATGGATGCGAGGGGCTGCTGGGTAGTTGAGCAGCACCTCGTGCTTGACTGGCAGTTCACATCCTGTCGGATCCCTCACATCCTGACGCGCCCTGGCGACCTCCAGGCAGCGGCCCTTAGCGGGTTCTACTTGATTCTATCATCGATATAATGGGCGTCATTTAATGGGAGACGCCCAGACACGGCGCCTTTTCATAGTGAAGTCTCAAGCACAAGCGGGCCTTTGCACTTTCAATTTTTGGCACTACCACCTTCTTGGCAAGGTGCTGACTGCGCGGACGTAGCAGTTTTGTCACATCCGTTACGTCAGCGGGCAGTGAGATCGTCACTTTTCTACGCCTATTTATTTTATTATTATTATGTATTCTTTTTTTTCTTTCTCAAGATTTTGTAAGACCTTGGTTTGAGAGATAGATGTTCACGAGCCTAAGCCAAGTGCGCATTCATTTGGGAATCAAAATTTGAAGTGTCTTCTTGCAAATATTTTCGGACTATACGGCACGTGTTGAGGATGGCTGCTTTTTGTATGGTAATATAACTATTTTCAGAAAGATCTAATCATCGTTTGTTCTTAACTGTTTGCCAAACAAAGTAAATGTCTTTTTACATTACTCAGACTTTATAAAGCTTGATGCTCATTGTTGTTGTTATTATGTGTGTAGTAGGACAATTTCTACAGGGCCGATATGTATATATATTTATGTTACTTCCTTTATAAGCTTTATAGACATAAGTTATTTAAATGAAAAATATAAAAACTATCTAATATTAACTCAGAAGAATATAGACTGAAGCGTACTACTCACCAAAATGGGTACTGGCACATAGCACAGGCGGTCAAGGTCGCAAATAATAAAGTGAAATGATGATAATATAACCTTAAATTGGATACTCTTCGGATAGGTCCACTGACCGTAGGCTAAAAAAAGTGTAATTTAGTGTCTTCAATCAATAACTGAGGTAATTTACGTATAAGTTTTAGAAATAAGTGTTAAAAATATACATATATTAATATAAGAAAGCAAATACAACTTAATAATAACTTTTGAAATAATCATCATCATCATCATCACAGCCCTTCACAAGTCCACTGCTGAACATAGGCCTCCCCCAAGTAATGCCACAAAGCACGGTCCTGAGCCACCTGCATCCATCGACTTCCTGCATATCTTACCAGGTCGTCACTCCATCTAGTGGGGGGTCGCCCTACACTACGCCTACCGGTACGAGGCTGCCACTCGAGAACCTTTCTTCTCCATCGATTATGGGTTCTTCGAGCTATATGGCCGGCCCATTGCCACTTCAGCTTACTAATCCGTTGGGCTATGTCGGTCACTCTGGTTTTACTGCGGATATCCTCATTTCTGAGTCTATCACGCAGAGAAACTACGAGCATAGCCCTCTCCATAGCTCGCTGAGCGACCTTGAGCGTCCTCATACGGCCAGCAGTGAAGGACCACGTCTCTGATCCGTAAGTCATCACTGGCAACACGCACTGGTTGTACACTTTAGTTTTCAGAGATTGAGGTATACCTGACGAGAAGATATGTCGTAATTTCCCGAACGCTGCCCAGCCGAGTTGAATCCGTCGATTGACCTCTCGGTCGAAGTTGGACTTAACTAGTCGGAATATTTGTCCCAGGTAAACGTACTCGTCAACAACTTCGAGCATAGTGCTCCCAACAACTACCGGCATAGGTGTGACATGGACATTAAACGTAATCTTTGTTTTGTCCATGTTCATCTTAAGACCTATCCGTTGGGAGGCACTATTGAGGTCATTGAGCATAGTGCTTAAGTCCTCCAGCGATTCTGCCATAAGGACTATATCGTCGGCAAATCGAAGGTGAGTGATGTACTCGCCATTGATGTTAATACCGTATCCTTTCCAGTCCAGTAGCTTGAAAACGTCTTCCAAAGCAGCGGTGAAGAGTTTCGGGGATATAACGTCACCCTGTCTTACACCTCTCTGCAGTTGGATAGGTTTCGAGCTCTGGTTCTGTACTCGGATAGCCATCGTAGCCCTACTGTACAAACACTTCAGCACTTCGATATACCGACAGTCAACTTGGCACCGCTGAAGGGACTGCAGCACCGCCCAAATTTCGACGGAATCAAAGGCTTTCTCATAGTCCACATACGCCAGGCAAAGTGGCAAATTGTACTCTTCAGTCTTCTGTACAATCTGCCGCAGGGTATGTATGTGGTCTATGGTACTGAAGCCTTTTCGGAAACCGGCTTGTTCGGGAGGCTGGAAGTCGTCGAGTCTGCGTGCGAGACGATTCGTAATGACTCTCGAAAACAGCACGTAGACGCGGCTCAGAAGGGAAATCGGTCTGCAGTTCTTCAAGAGAGCGTTGTCGCATTTCTTAAAGAACAAGACCACCGCACTTCTGCTCCACGCCTCTGGAGTAGTGCCACCATGGAGGACGGAATTGAAGAGCTTCTGAAGGACTTCAAGTACCGGTGTTCCACCCGCTTTCAGAAGCTCCGCTGTAATTCCATCCTCGCCTGGGGCCCTGCCGTTTTTAAGGTGCTGGAGAGCCATTCTAATCTCGCTTAGACTGACGTCCGGGATATCATCGGAATAGTGTCGGATAAGACTTGCTCTTGGATCGTTACTCACACTTGCGTGTGGCTCCAACGATGATGTGTACAGCTGCCCATAGAACCACTCAATCTCACTCAAAATCTCAGGTGTCCCGGAAACGATGCTGCCACACTCAGTCTTCAGCCTTGACAGTTGGCTCTTTCTGGCAGACAGATCTCTGGCAAAGACTTTGGAGCCCTGGTTCCGCTCGATCGCTTCTTTAATACGAGCAGTATTAAAGTTGCGTAAGTCTCGCCGCATGCATTTGGAGATCTGTCTGTTCAGTTGCCTGTATGCTGTCAAATCTGTTGACGATTGCAGCCTCATCTCCCGTCTAACAGCCATAAGATTAAGAGTGTGATCGGAAAGTGTTTGTGTTCTTCTGCGGCGGGTCTTGCAGAACTTAGCTCCGACCGCATGGACAGTTTCCACGAGCTTGTCATTCATATCGTCCACTGCATTGCAATCTTGTAGGCACTGAAAGCGGTTGTGTAACTCGAGCTGAAAGTTTTCGGGATTTTGGATTAGAGCACGAGGGGGACGGAGCGTTGACTTCATTAGACGAGACCTCTCCAACTTAACGTTTAGGTTCAGTGTGCCTCTAGCCATTCGGTGATCGCTGCCAGTTTTCACCCTTGCGATCACTGAGACATCACTGAACAGTTGGCGTCTGGTCGTCATAATGAAGTCAATCTCATTTTTTGTCGAACCGTCGGGGCTCGACCAGGTCCACTTCCTGTGGGGCCGCTTCTGGAAGAAAGAGTTCATCATAAAGAGTCCCTCTTTCTCCATAAAGTCAGCCAGCTGCTGGCCCCTTCGGTTCCGTTGCCCTACTCCAAATTTCCCTAACTTCAGCTCACCGTTTTCTCTTGTGCCTAGTTTTGCGTTGAAGTCTCCCATCAACACCGTGTAGTGGGTTTTGGAGGAATGTATGGCTTTGGAAATATCCTCATACATTTCCTCCACCTCCTCATCGGAATGTGCCGACGTTGGTGCGTAAACCTGTATGACCTTCAGCGAATACCGTTTGGTGATTCTGAGTATCAGATACGCGACCCTCGTCGACACACTCTCAATCTGTACAACGTTGTTGACGAGAGACTTGTGGACGATAAATCCGACACCTCCTTGGGACAGATGGTCGCCCTCCCGGTGATAGAACAAGTTGCCGGATTCGAGAATCACCGTGTCCTCCCCCTCTCTTCGGACCTCGGATAATCCTATAACACTCCAGCGCAACTTGTCTATCTCTTCTTCCAGCTCCAGGATCTTCTCGTCAGTCCTCAGTGTGCGTGCGTTAAATGTTGCCAGGTCGAGTCGTCGTAGGTGGCAACCGAACCTCCACCGGAGATTCTTAGCACCCCCCTGCCCCGCCGTTACCATGGTCGCCACCGTAGCCAGGAATAGCGGGGCCGCCGGGGACTGGGGGCCGTCTATTTGTGTAATTGTTCATGGGGGGTATATTGCCATAGTTGCCACGCTTGGCGAGCGGGTTGGCAACCGCAGTTTTTTTTTTTTTTCGTACAGTTGCTGTTATCAGGAAGATGCTGCTGCCCATCTCCTGCCTGTCTCCCTCTGTCGCCTCTTACGACACCCACGGGAAGATATGGGGTAGTGGATATTCTTAACCGCCACTACACGGCCAAATTTGAAATAATGTAACATATTAATTAATAAAGTTAAGAGCACACAGGTAACAAAATTTTTGAAAATAAAAATAAAGTGCATGTATAATAAGCACATGTACATATCTTTGTTTGGTTTGAAATCAATAATTTCAGCATAGTTAGGCAGATTGGTTTTAGAATATTATTATGTATCACTCGCGGACGTCCGTACGTTACTATCCGTTCGGGCCCACTGAAAACCAGCGCTGTTGCTCCGGCGACAGCATA